AAAGAAGGGGAAAAAAAAAAAGAAAAAAGAAAAAAAGAGAAAAAAGAAAAAAGGAAAAAAAGAAAAAGCTATCAGCCCTGTCATGTGCAGAAGCTGAGCATTTGGTACGGGTCTTTTATGCACTTATTCTACAGACCTAACAAACTTTTTAGCAATAATTGTGTTGAATATCACTCGTGTATGGCTGTGGACAAGGCCTTTTGTCTTTTCCTTAGGAGATCAAGGTCTTACAGGGTCATCCAATGTCCAAAAGGAAAACCCTTCTGTTAAATTCTATGAGACTGAGTTGTAAACAATTAACATAAGTTAAAGTAATAAAAAAACACACTGAAGTGGGCCACAGTTTGCATAAATCAATCAAAAAAGTCAAAGTACTCTTTAAATCTAGCACTGTGAAAAAAGACCTCCAAGACGGGAACTCTGCTAGGATAATAACGTGGAATTCATGGAAGCAGGAAAAGTAGACATCCAAAGGGAGTACACAACACCAAGGATAGATTTTAATACAAAAGCATGTAGAGAATATGGGTGAATCTTGATAAAGATCAGGCTCTTTTCTAGTGGGTTCATGAGTCTTTATGTAAACAATATAATAGAGTGTGTAGAGAGTAACTTATGTCACTCATGATAATATGACATACATCACTCATAATGACATATATTACTCTCTCTCTAGACACACATATACACACAGAAGCACTTCATACAGATTAATTATTTGTACCAGTTCCAGTCAGTGGCTGCTGATAAGACCAAGAGCAGGTGAGCAAATAAATTTGCTGCTCATGGTAGTTGATACCACTAACATCACTAGGATGGTAGTGAGAACGTGAGCTGGATATTTAACAGTTTTAGTTGCTGACCTGCCAGTCTGTTATGAAAATGCCGAATGTCAGAAATGTCAATACAGAACACTACATTGATTTTTCTCTATATTTCCCACATCAAATATTATCTTGGTTTATGAGATGGTTCCTGATTTGAAATGCAATGGAAGTGCTGTGAAGTGTGGAATATATCCTACTCCAATACACATTTGGCTAAAGAGTTTCATAAATATTTGTCTTCCGTTACTTTCGTGTAGTCTTACCCTGCTAAACAAAACTATCATTCCACTGTTCTTTCTGGCTCCCATTAAAGCTGATCATGTTGGAATAAGAAAACTAAGTAAGGCTGTTGCTCCTGTAAGAGCTCAACTGAAGGTTTAAACACAAAGAAACGAAGCTTGCTTTATAAAAGTGGGTATTGTTAGTTTTCTTGGTATGAACAGGAAACATGGCTGCCACATATACAGTTTTTGAATTAATAAAACAAAATTTGTCCAGTAATTATTAACCCGCTAATTATTGCTTGTACCAAGTGTAGTAAAATCCAGGTTATCCAAAACCATGGTGTAAGCACTGGCAACGGCAACTTAGGCCTCCATACTTTAAACGCATTAAAGAAGAAAGAACTGTGGGAAGCCGTAAGGCCTCTGCGCTCGTCTATGGATACTTTTCTATTGAAGCAGCTTTTTCATACTTGTGAAAAGGTTGCTGTCCACTGACATGAAATTAGGGAGCACAGCGGGACCTTACAACATCTGTTTTCATGCATTGGCTCTTGCTATCTCATGGGTGTGCCTGAGGAGACTATTTAGCACGTAGTCCTTGGCTGGGTGGAGGCAGCGGGGCTGGCCAACCTTTCGCTGGGGGCACCCAGAGGAGACTTTCTGAGAGGGCTTGGAAAAAGGTGTAAAATATAGGAGACATCTCTGGCAGGATCAGATGGAGCCTGATTTTAATCACAGTCAGAAGATGGAAAGCTTCATTTACAGTCACGTCAGTCTAGAGGCAGTCTTGCGGCTTGGCCACTACCCGAGCTGAGCTTAGGTTTGTTGAGTCTAAAATTTGACACACATCTGCAATGTTGAATAAAGTTCTGGGTTCAGGAAAAAGCTCTTAATTTAACAGGTATGGACTGATCCAGCATCACTGCTTCAGAGAGGCAGAAAACTGTACTGGTCATATTATGCGTGGCTTAAGTCTCAAGAGTTCAAAAGTGCCTAAGATTTACCTCACCCTCCGAGACAAGTCAGAAATCTAGTTGAAGAGAATGGTACAAAGATAGAAGCAAGAACTTGACAGTTACAGGTAGCCCATGCTGCCCTTGCTCTGTGAAAGACTGGCTTAATTTGGAGTTGCTCTCAGACTAGGAAGTACTACTACTATGAATACATCCAGAAGAGAAATAATCTGTTGTGGAGCTGAGAGAGAACACAGACAAATGCTGAGTGTCACCTACTCGCCTAACTTAGTTCTTCTTTGTCAGGACAGTGAAGTTTTTAAGACTTCTGTGATTAGCTCCCCAAACGGACTGTTACAAAAACATACAAAAATCTTCATGACTGATGTGGAATATATGCCATAGTTATAAACCGTGCAACAATATGCTGCACAAATACAGAGGTAATGACATCTCTATAATTTTGCCTTTCATTAAAACATGCTATGACATTTGATTGAATGAGTGACTTAAAAAATAGAACCAACAGCAAATGGGCCCGATTTAACATATATTAAGAGAAATGAACACCTTTCATACGCTGTTTCCACTGCTAGGTCAAGTGTGAATCCATAGATGTGCTAGCCTGACTAGGAAAATTTTTGGGGGGAGAACGGTGGTCCTAGAACTTGGGTGAAGGTTAACCTTGCATTAGTAAATATTAGAAGGCCCACTAGAAGACTCTGTGCTAGTGGGGAACAGTTTGGTTAGTTTACTCTTCAATCAGCATCATCCACATCTGGTCCAACAATATCCAAGGGCACAGAATAATAGGAATTACATTCACGTATTGAAAATATATTGGTGGGAATATGTTCACACAGTACACACACATATACTCAGAGTTATAAATAAAACTCGTAGACTGATATTAACTTATATTTCCCTCTAATTCTTCACCCTGGTGTTGACATCAAAAGCTTGAAATTCTTCAACAATATTGAGTGTCCCATCCCCACTGAAAGAGGAGATGTTTCTGCACTCTCTTTATGTTTGTTATCCAAACTGTATGGCAGCCTATTTACCAAAGAATCACATTCCTAGACCGCCAATCAAGACCAATAGCCTGAGGAAGCAGCACATCTCATTTAGTTTCAGGGTTTTAAAATGTCATTGACTGCGTCTATTTTAAAAGCTAAATTACAAAACCTGTTCTCAAAGTCTGTATATTTTGTGGGTAGTTGATCACACTAAGCCTGTCCACTGATTTTATTTCCCCTTCACAAACCAATGCAACGGACTTCTTGCTGTCCTTTGGTTCTTCTGGAAATTGAATAGCCAGTTTTTACAGTTATGAAAATACCTATGCAAACTCATTAATATGTAACACTACATTTTAGTTTTCAATGTGCTTTAATTAACCTGAATTTAATAGAGTTATTAAACTGTTGGAAAATTTGAGATAAATCTTTTTCTTTAATTTAAACTAGGAAACACAGTTAATTAAGCCTCCAGATAATCGAATGCTTTAGGAGAGCTCCAAAGTTTTCATATGTTTCTAAATCTCAGTAAATGCCCTTTCTTTATTGATTATTTTATCTCAGCTCTACCAGCACAGTTAAATGACTGTCAGCTTTATGTCAAATACAGTCTCAGTCACATGTTTCTAAGAACTCGTATAGAAACTCAACTATGTTTGACAATGGTTTGGCATGGAGATTTAGTTTTCATGGTTGTAGTTAGTGTAAATGGCACAAACTACCATTCATTCTGAATATAATACCAATCTCTAGAATACATTATGAGATTTTCTATTTCAAGATATCCAGGCAAAATTTTGTGCTTATAGTAATAAACATTTTCCTTCAAAAACCTAGTCACAGTCTGGTTAACACAGTGGAGGGATGGATTGTGAGCCCCTTCATTTTACTAGCAAATTCAAGACTGGGCTCTGTCATAGCTACATCCCAGAAAAAGACAGATGTTTAAATGGATAACATTTGTCTGACAGTTGTTTCTCCCTTGTTCTTATGCCATAACCTATGTTTATGCCACTGTAAAAATCAGAAAAGGTGGGAGAAGTGAGAGGAGTTAAAGCAAAATCATTCTCCTTTACACAAGAGATGATATCTTACTTCTTCCTCTATTTCCTCCTCTAAGAATGGAGTCCGCAGAAGTTTTTCTATGTTATCTAGTTAGACATCAAACTCTTCAGAGTAGGGTCTGTTTCTTTTTAAGCATTTGAACAGTGCCTAGCAAAAGCTGTCCACGGTCTTTGCTGTGACCTTTTGGTACGGCTGTAATGAAGAACAATGCCAACAGAAGAGGAAATACGACTGTGCTAAACTATCCTGACTATGTTTGTGGCCACAGTATTTATCATAGAAACGTTGTACATACAAATCTCTCCTTCACAGAATCATTCTAGGACAAATATAAGGACTTTCAGTCTCTAGAAATAAAGGTGTAGCATGGCTTATGCTATGGTTATATACTATATGCTTCAAATATTCCTTTCTCATTACAGAATAGACATATTTTTTCTGACATATTTCACTTGTTAAAAGGGGTTTGCAACCAGTTCCACAGAGCTCTGGATGCCACACTGCTTATATGACTCCACTACATCTGTTTCAATTAATGAATAGTTTCCTTGGAATGGGACATAAGCCAAGACGGCGACGCTGACAACCACCGTGCAAAGAATGGGAATCATTAGAAGAAACAATGGGACGGCACTTACAAGTAAACAACTCAATTTAAATAGATTGCTGATGAATTTGTTCAACACTGAAAACATTTATGCTTTCATTTACAATCACTTAATTCCAAATCTCTTCTGAAAACAGGCATTACAATGTTTGGAATACTTCCATGCAGTGATTGCTTTAACGTTTATTTTATTGGATCCCATCTGATGTAGCAACATTAGGACTGTAGCAGAGTGAAACAGAAACCTTAGATTTCACTTGAGAGAAGGCAAATACTTATGTATATTAATATGTATTTCTACTTACTCACAAACTGCAGGGAAGGACAAACCCACAAAGGCACTAGACAGATATTCTGTGTACATTTCATTTGCAACTCCTTCCAGGTAGTATTTCTGCCACGTATCCTCCTCAATCTAAAACAAAGAAACACAGATGCAGAGTTCTGAGTAAAACCAAAAGCTTTCTTTAAAATTTACAAACGACTGCTTAAACACGTATCAGATTTTAACAAGTAAGTCAGTAGACTGTTATGGCAATTAATATTGCTTATTTTTACAGGGTGTCCTGGAATGCCAAAAAAAAAAAAAAAAAAAAAGAGTCCATGTAAATCAATCCCAGTCAGTAAATCAAGTATCCTATGTAATTCTTTTTTTTACAGGGTGTCCTGGAAAGCCAAAAAAAAAAAAAAAAAAAGAGTCCATGTAAATCAATCCCAGTCAGTAAATCAAGTATCCTATGTAAAAATAATACAACTCAATTCTTGGCAAGCACATTCAGCATGAGGTGAAATAAGGTTGAAGAGTGCTTGAGGAAAATAGTTTCTTAATTTTCCCTTTTTGAAACTTCTCTAGTGAAATGGTTGCATTATATTGTTATTTGAGTCTCTCTAACAACGTTTCAATTATTTTCACCTTGTTCAGAAGTTGATCAGCAGTCAAAACTCATAGTTTAAGATTATAAATTTTTTTTCTTCTCTGCATCTATAACTAACAAGGAAATATGAGAAACATATATTCAAACAATTTCTTCAATTGTCATCAGGACAACAACCGAAGAAAACCTTTACTGTCAGATTCAGAGATCTTTTACTGTTGAAGGAAAACAAGTCAGGACTACCATCGAAAGCTCAATATATTTGCGTAAGCAGAAGTTTCTAGTGATATCTGAGATGCGCATGCAATCCCACCTAGCTTCCAGCTGCTGCCCTGGGGTCCGTGGATGCCATGTCATATCTATAAAGCTTATGTCTCAGACGCTCTATAAAGTCTTTCAATTAGCATCAAACACCTATCTTAAGGTAACTGGATCGAGCCACTTAGTTTCCATCAGCAGCAATAGCACTATAATTCAGAAGAGCAAATACAAAGCTAGCTGATATGACTGGAAATACGGCATATGCTGAAGCTGTTCACTGTTGAAATCCCAGTTCTCTATACCGTAATTTGTGCCCTCACCCAACATTTGTTTGAGATTTGACTGTCATTCCCAATGAGACCTCCCTAGGCAAACTAGGGAAACCACCACAAACACCGCAGCCTGAAATACCTAAGGCTTCACATCAGTTGCTTCCCTATTTATTACATCACATTAAAATAGAGCAAAAAACTCAACCACAATGCGACATTCCTGCGTGTAATTATCTCTTTGGCTTTATTCACTAATTGTGCTATATAAATTGTGTGAACAGAGCAATTCGTATTTGCAAGAATTATACAGAGCACCAAAAATGTATGTGTGAAAATACAGTATATATAAAATTAGTGAGAAACATGTCAATTACATCAGACTAGCAAACATAATGTGATATATCTCTTTTTTTACATTACCACATTTTCGTCGGGAAACAAGTAAAAAGAGAGAGATTGAGAGATCAGAGATTCTAATTTTCTTAAATAAGGCACATGATTTTACAGGTCATGGTAATATTTATCTTGTAATTTAGTTCATGTATAAAAGCTGTATTTTATTCTTTTGCAAAAAAATAAAGAAACTCTTAGTTCCACTGTTTAGGTAGCCCCATTATGGTCTTCATCTTACAGAGCAGAAAGTGAGACAGTACTGAGTTTAGATGTGAAGGCCATAATGAGAAAATATTTTTTTTAAAACTATTGGTAGAGATTTGCAAAGCTACCTGAAAGGTTGAAGTACCAAATACCGACTGATTTGAGAAGGACTTGGATAACTATATACCTCTTAAACTCTTTCACAATTTGTCTCTTTCTGATATCCCCAGCTTTTCCTGAAGCTCAGTCTACATTGTGTAAAGAGATGACAATACTAATCCTGCAGGAAACAGAGCTGTAGCCAGGCCCAATGAAGTGGCAAAAAGGATGCTTCAGGAACATCCATCCTCATAAATTACTGCAGGTAAGGCTCAAGTGCTTTAATCTACACTGCTGATCTTGTTTGTCTAAAGAGCCAGCGTAACGGCAACCAGCTAAGTATGAGCCAGATTTTTTTCTTTTCCATTACAAAAGAATTCTCAGCATTTCAGAAATTCTTATCAAAGAATTCAGTCCAGCAAGATAAACAGCTTATTACTGCTTTAAAATTTTGTCCAGCTACATTACTGCCCACTACGTCAAATGCCTTGGATAATATCCAGTCAATTATTTCAATGGCATAAAATGCCTTATGGCAGCAAAACATAGGCCTATATATTCTCTATGGTAAAAGCATTATGGTACATTAGGAGGAGCGTGGGGTTTGTTATGAACATATATTCCAAACAGCAATATAAGTGTACATCTCTGTCAGTATTCAAGGAAAGAAATTAATACATGGGTTGTAAGTGACTTGGGTAAAGGTGACCAAATTAATTTTTCAGCTATTCAGCAATAAATCAAATTGAGAAAAGCATCTTTAAGCAACAATTTATCTTTGTCTGTTGTGTCAAACTACAGCTGTTTTAAAAGAGCATTAAAGCAAGAGGTTCTTGCATAACATACAGGGCTTAAAGGAAATCTCACCACGTAAATTCAAACAAGGATAAAAACTTAAGATGGAAAAAAATAAAGCACATACTCTAATCACCAGACAGTTCAGGTCTGTGACCAACAACATACTCTGCATTTATAATGTATCCAGCAACTGGCTTTCTGCCTCTTAAATTTAAAAATGAACTCATGCCTACATAGATATCATTCAAGACTTTTTTCTGCATATTAATTCTATTTTTCTTTTAACTGGTTTGCTTATATTGTTGTTTCATTAGTTGTACTTATTATTATTCTACTCTAAATTATGCTCCTAAACAAGGTATAATCAGATGAAAACGTTAAGTGTTTAACAAAACTTTTAAGCTAAGTAATTGGTATTTTTTAATTTTAAATTAAAACTTTAGGAACTTTTAAAATCTCATATGCTTTGGGAAATAAAATTATATGCGGACAGGCTGTAAAAGTAAACTACATTTTAAAAACAGAAGCTATAATGGTTACGGAGGCCTATTCATTCCCCAAGAGTCTAGAACAGATTTTTCTTGTTCCTTCTTATACATTTTTAGTAAACACTTAATATTTTCTCAAAGTTTTAAGTTATAGTCCTGTATTCCATATTCTTACTCCAGCTCCAAATCAGGAAGCTCACAAAACCCCATAAAACAGGAATACTATAGAAATGCAGTGATGTTCCTCTTCCTACGCCTTTTCTTGCTCTTTTGGAGAGCTGTCTTCATCCCTGCTTCCCCTGCCTGCACTTCCTTAAGCCTCTGCCCTTCACTCTGCCTCTTTGTTTCTCTTCTCTACCCTATCGTTACCTAACATCACCCACAATACCAACAGAACTGCTTCTCTAGGCTAATGTCCTGTATATCTTGCTTTCTATTTCCCTCTTAACTCCTTTATCCAAATGGAAACATCAACCTGCCTAACTGACATGTTCTAGAGGATGTATAGCCACCAACTGACAGAGTTCTTTATCTTACTTCCCCGTCAGCGGTGTTACCACCTCCTCTTTTAGACTCGTAACGTGGTTGTCTTCTTTGCCTGCTTCAACCCAGTCACTTATTCTATGCTTAAATCATACAGACGTCTTGTCTTCCCACTAGTCAGGATAATCTGTGAAAAAATATCTAAATCATGTTAGAAAAAATTTCACCTTTAAAAGCTTTAAGAGACAGCAAGACCAATTCCATGTCAAATGAGCATTTTATGGATAGCCAGTACCAAACAAGCAAGGGATGCAGTACTGTCATACATACTAAGCTCAGAGAGCAAAACCAGGATTATATTATTCATTAGCAGGAAATAAAGCAAGAGCCACATTAAAAGGCTTCGGAAAGGGAATTACAGCTGAGCCTCTACAGTTGCAGGAGCCCATGTCAGGAGTGCAGTGTCCTAGCAGCATGTGTAAGAGCTACAGCTCTGCTAATTGTCTAACTTAAGGAAGCATTTTCATACCGTGACCACACATGGCTCGTATTGAAATGCTGAGCTTTTCAAACTCTTTTACAACTTAAAAGCAGCTCTTCCCTGTAATAGCCTGCTCCACAGCTCGTTTAAACCACTCAAACCTTCTCTACTGATTCTGACATGCTTAGGATCAAACAACAGTGTGTTTTGACATAATGATTTCAGTTAGAAAAAAGAAATCAAAATAAACTTCAGACTATATCATTATCATGTTATAATATTATATTATTAAACACAATTTATTATATTGTTATATTACAGTAAATATATATTTTATATATTGTTATATATACAGTAAATACAATATATTATATTGTTATATTACAGTATTAATAGTAAATTTTACTAGTGCTTTTATATTATATTATTATGTATTA